GTTCGAGGTATGTATTTTCAGTAACCGCTCGGGATGGTCGCCGGTCCATTCTGAGATCTAGTGGCCTTATCTAACCACTGGAGTGTGCACATGGTCCGGTATTAGTTTGTGTCGGGAGATAGCGGCATTAGTTTGTGCCGAGCGGCATTAGTTTGTGCCGAGCAGATTCAGTTACGTGACTTCGGTCGTGAGTTCAGACCGGTATCAGTTCAGTTCAGATATATATGCTTAGTTCATGATATTGTTATTATTTACGATGTTTTACATTAGTGTGAGTTTCCACGGAGCACAGTGCCTTAGTGCTCACTCCCCAGTTTTATCCTATATTTCAGGTCAGGATGTCGGCCAGGAAGCGTGACGTGACGGAGCATATCGGGACTTTCAGGACATTTATATATGTTTTGGACTGTATAAATATGACTTACGCTTCCGCTTGTCTTTTGACGACATATGATGATGTTTTGATATATTTTGACGAACTTATCATATTTTGACGAACTTTTCAGAAAATAAAGTTTTCAGTAACCGGACGTTTTTATTAAATTAAAACAACGGTTTTTCTAAGTTAAGTAACGATTTTTTTCACGGTAGCACCCCAAATCAGTTTTCGCAAAGTAAAAAGATTTTATTTTCAAAGACTTTGCGAATAATTGCGCAACTCTGATTTTACAGTAAGGTGGGGTGTTACAAAGAGTCGGCGCAGAAAATGATAATGCCAGTGAATTAACCGATCACTGAGCTTGAAGTCTCACAAGAAATGCCCGAAGAACCTGGTCTAAACTTGGCGAGTCGCCGCAAGAGATCGAGCGTATCCCACGTAGCCGAACGGATGAAGAAAAAGCAGAATACCGGCGCGGGAAAGGATAAAGAGGAAGAGCCAGAGATTATCTTAAGGCCATCATTTCTTAAGGTTAATGAAAAGAAAGCCGCCGATTTGACGCTGCCAGAAGATGTATTCGAGCCATGGTTTTCAACGTTCCAGACGGTAAATGAACCGAAGTTGGCCAACAACCATCGATTCCCTGAGGAGGCGGTCAAGGCTGCAAAAGTTCCCCTAATGTCTTGGGATCCAAAAAAAATCACGCCGGGATTACATCCTTACCCGATGACCAGAAATTTAGCTATGTTAAAGGTTGTTTAAGACGGGCGCTTGTTAGCTTCGTTGTTGCCGAATAGAGTTATTGGAGCAAAGTGTCAGAGCTCGAAGAAAAGAGAATGAGCTTAGCCTGAGGGATGGAACTGTGGCATCTTTAGAAGAATAAAAATCTCAATTCACGACTTCGGTGTCAGAGAGGGATGCGCAATTGAAGGCAATGCAGACCAATGTTAATGCTTTAAAGACCGAGAAAGAAACTTTGTTGCTAGCCCATGATATTATGTCGGTTCAACTGTCCAAAGTTGAGGAAAAGGTAAAGGAGCAGAATGAGCAGCTCCAGAAGTTGAGAGCCGAGCTTTGGGAAAGATCGCTCAGAGAAAGACGCGAACTGATTCATAGCCGAGAAGCCCATGAAACCGACATGATCAAACTTCGTATGGAGCTGAAAGTTACGGCTGAGGCCAAATTTCAAGAGGGCATCGAAGTCGGCAAAAAGACAGAAGGGAAGTCCGAGGAGCCAGGCGGCGACGTAGTAGTCACTGAAAAAGACTTAGAGCTGAATGTTGCCCTAACTTTACGTTGGGTTATTGATCGGGTTAAAGGTGGAATCTACAGTGTTGACGAATTGCGAATTTTCCTATTGGAAAAATTAGAGAAGTACGACCTTAACTCCGAGATCAAGAATGCTCACATTCTGGCCGACGAGGATGAGCGAGAGTTTTCCGACAAGCTGCTTAAGCAAAAGGAAAGTCGGATGCTTGAGTTGAACATGAATCCCTTATCGGAAGAACGTAGAGCTGCTATTCATCGGACCTTTATCGACATAGTCCTTGAAGTCGAGAAAGAAAAGAAGCCGGAATTGGCCAATATTTGCGTTGAGGCCATCGCCGTAGCCTTCGTTGCTGAAGTGCTTGGGAATCTTTCCGGCGAAGATCTACTCGGTGCTATTACCAGCTTTGTCATGCGAAAAGTAGCTGAGGACGATGTAAAGGCCAAAGGGTGGGTGGCCTAGCCCATTCCTTCCGACGAGGAAGAGATTGTCCATGACGACGGCGACATGGTCGTCATAAGGGAGAGCGATGTTCTTCAAGCGATTGAGAAGAAAAAGGATGAAGCCTTTCAGCGCCTGGGACAAAGGATACTGGACCATTTGGATGTGATGGACAAAGCCAAGGTAGATGCTGAGAAGCCTTCAATTTTGGTGATTGGGGAGGCGTCAACGTCGGGAACGAGCAATGAAAATCCTAAGAAGACTTCGTGATTGCTGTCGTGTTCTTTTATTTTTCTATTTGAAGGATATTTATCGAATGTAATGACTTTATTATATTATGAGTGAAATTTAAATTTCTCATTTTGTTTTGCACCGTCTCATTATTTTTGCATAATAGGACGGGAAGAAATCGAAATCGAAACAATCAGAGTCAAGGGATGTCGGAAAAATGTTAACGAATATTAAAGGTTTATTTATAAGACTATTCCGACTTGTTACTTGATCTTTTTACTCCGCATTTATTCGAACTTAATTGTGTTTAAGATATCGTTTTGATTTACCGTGTTTCTGACATCTATGGACTTTAGCCCAAATAAGTCTTGATAGACTCAGTTTTATTATACGATCACTGAGTCATCTATGGGACTCAGAAGTGATTTTTATTGTCACATCATCAAATCAATGTCGGGGTTTGAAGTCAAAGAGCATAAGCCTCCCCAAGCCATCTTCAGGGCTTGGAAGTATCCAGCTTTGTCGCGTTTGGCTAGGCCGTACCAACTTCAGGGTACAGAAAAGTTTAGCCTTGGCAACGAGGACCGATTTATCGAGGGTCCGGTGAAACAACTTATTGAGGTTCGTCACACAATCTTTATTGGAAGCAAAAGTGGTTTTGCACATGAGTCACCAAGAGAGTTTCTTTGTACATCGAGGTTGTAGGATCAAGGATTTCTTCATACTTTTTTTACTGGAAATATCTCTTTAGAAACGTCGCATTCCAGGGGTATTGGAGAGGGACACCATCCATATTCTCAAGTCGGTAAGTGTCGTTGGAGATTAGACGGTTTACTTTGAAGGGTCCTTCCCATTTCGGTTGTAGTGGACCGACGCTGGCCACAATAACTCTTTTCAAAACGAGGTCACCCACAACAAAGGAGCACGATTTGTGATTTGCATTAATGTACCTTTCGCTACGTCGTTTGTAGGCAGCGTTTCAGATTTCAACTTACGTTTGTAACTCGTTGACCAAGTCGAGATTGGCTCTTAGGTTATTTGAGTTTGCTTCCTCTGAGAAGTGGGTAATTCGACACGTCGGTGAAGTGAGTTCAACAGGTATTACGGCTTCTATCCCGTAGGTTAATGAGAACGGGTTTTCTCCGGTTTAATTCTGAAGTGTTGTTCGATAGGCCCAGAGGACATGAGGTAACTTATTGGGCCAAGATCCTTTTGCGGATTCGAGTCGGGTTTTTAAGACTTTTTTAATAATCTTGTTTACGGCTTCAATATGTCCATTAGCTTGCGGATGATATGGTGATGAAAAGAATGGCTTGATGCCATAGTCTTCACAAAAGGTTTCAAATCTTCTTCCTTCAAATTGTTGGCCGTTGTCGGTTATGATGGAGTTTGGTTAAACCAACAAACAATGGACTTCTAGAGGAAATCATGAAGGCGAATCAGAATGTGGCGATAATCCAGAAGCCCCAATGAAAATTCGCCCTTTAATCGATCATCTTTTACTCAGTAATGGTCGAGAGGCTCAGCTTCCACCCATTTGGTGAAGTAAT